CTCGCCTCTGACGCACACAGCCATACACGCCAGCATTCCCCGATGTGTGGCTGCCTGCAGTGGCCTAGCAGCTGCCTTGTTTTTCTCTTTGCTTCGATCAGTCTCCTGCCTTGCTTCTCTCGCTTCTTCCCGTTCCTGCCTTGCCCTCGCTGCCGCTGTCTGCTGTCTGAGGTTCCCTTCATGTTACCACACAGTGCACCCTCCACCCTCCCCACAGCTCAAACAGGCTGGGGCTGCCTGAGGTACTTGGAGACGTCAGTCATGGCGCCACCGCGGCCGGGTTGACTAGGCTAGTCAGCAGCAGCAGGTAGCCGAGCACCCAGGCAGTGTCCTGAGGTGCAGCTGGCTCACCCCTCGCTCCTGCCTGTCTCTCACCAGCAGGCGCCGCCAGCCATTGAAGAAAGCACGGGCGCCACGCTGCGGCGGTGCAGCTAGCAGCTTACAGGCAGCGGTGCAGAGAACACACAGTGTGGAAACTTGAGCTACAACCAGTCAACCATGCAGGGCACGACGCCACGCGGCGGCGGCGGCCTGACGCAGAACCAGAAGCTGGCGGCTGGGGCGGCGGCCGTGGGCCTGGCCTACTACTTTTACTCTCGTAGGCACGTGCAGGCCTGGGGCGTGCCTGCTGGGCTTGGGGTTCTGCCGGGGGACGCCGCGCCGCTGTCCAAGGCCGAAGGTCCTCTCTGCCTGAGCCCAGCTTCCCACCTCTTCAACCACTCATCCCTTCCCCTTCCCGCCCCTGCACCATGCAGTCAGGCAAAGAACGTGGGAGACGTGGCCAGCCGGGCCGGCGCGGCGGCGGGGCGCAGCGTGGAGGCGGCGGGGGCGAAGGTGCGCGGGCCGGGCCCTGCCTTGGTTGGTGGCTCGATCTCATCTTCAGAAACAGAGCTCAGTCCTACCCTGCTGCTGCTGCTACAGATGGGGAGCGAGACGCTGAAGGAGGAGGGCCGCGGTCTGCAGGCCAAGCAGCAGTGATGCGCCGGACAGTCTCCTCCTGGCGCGGCGCGGCACGAGTGCCCCCTCGCCTCCCTGACGGACAGCTAGTCATGTGCTTGCTCGCCTCGCCCGCTCTGCATGCACCCCCCGTTGAACAACCACGCACAGCAGCAGCCTGGGTTGACCCATAGTGTGTGAGAAAACAGCACTGCTCAACTTTTCAGACACAGCCAAGACGCCAACAGAACAGCAAGCAAGCCTCGGTTTGGAAGGGGCGGCGCAGGTGGCCCAACCCCCCAACGCCAGCCAGCCAGCCAGCCAGCCAGCCCGCCGGCTCTACTTGAGAGGCTTCAGGCCCAGGCTGGCCCGCAGTGCGTTGGCCTGCGCAATCTCGTCCCCGCCGCCCTCCTTGTCCGCCGCACGCGGCTTCTTGTCGCTGCGGCCGCGCTCGCGCTCCGGGCTGGGGCTGCGCCCGCGCCGCCGGTCGCCGCGCTCCCGCTCCCGCCGCTCGTCTCTGTCGCGGTCGCGGCGGTCGTCTCTGCAGGCAGGCAGGCAGGCAGGCGGGTCAGGTGCCAGGCAGGTAGCGCAGGTTCACTTACACAGCAGCCAGCCAGCAAAGCACTAAAAACAGCAGCAGAGCAGCAGCAGCAGCCTCCAGCAAGCTGAACAGGCGCTGCAGCACTACTTCCACACGCACCTGTCCCGCCTGTCATCCCGCCTGCCCCGCTCATCGTGCCGGTCGCGGCTGCGGCTGCGGTACCGCCGATCGTCCCGCCTGGTGTCCCGCCGATCCCGGCTGCGGCTGCGCGAGCGCCGCCGCCGGTCGCCGCTGCGGCTGCGGGCTCGCCGCCCGTCCCTCCGGTCCCTATCATCCCTCCGATCCCTGCCGTCCCTGCTCCTGCTGCGGGAGGGGCGGCGCCGCTCGTCCCTCCGCTCATCCCGCCCGCCCCGCCGCTCCCTGCTCCTGCTCCTGCTGCGGCTGCCGCTGCGGCCCAGCTCCCGCTCCCGCCGCCGCTTCTCCTCTTTGGACAGCTGCCACTTCTCCCGTTCCCGCCGCCGCTCGGCGCCGTCGCCCTCCTCCCGCACCTCTCCCTCCTCCCCCTGCGCCTGCTGCTGCTCCTGCTGCTCCTGCTGCTCCGCCGCCGCCGCGGCCGCCGCCGCCTGCTGCAGCGCCGCCGCCTGCTCCTCCTGCTGCTCCTGCAAGCAGGCAGGCACGGCGCGGGCGGCGGGGACAAGCACAGTAGCGAGTCATCAGTCGGGCCGAACGCTTCGCCGGGCCGGCATTGGGCGAAGCAGCACGCCGCGCCGGCATTGCAGGCATGGCCAAGCCACGGGCGCACACACACAACACATGACAACCACACACTCACACACAAACGCCCTCATCACATTCCTTGGCAGCCACACACACACCCAGCCACCGCCACACCCACACAAAGCATGCACTGCAACAGCCAAGGTATACCCACCTCCGGCGCCGCCTCATCACGCCCCTCGGCAACCAAGCAACACACAGCCACTGCCACACCCACACCCAGCGACCACCACCCACCCACACCCACCCACCCACACCCACACACCCACACCCACCCACCCACACACACACACCCAGCGACCACCACCCACACCCACACCCACACCCACCTCCAGCGCCGCCTCATCAAATTCTTCATCCAGCACCGAGATGCGCGGCTCCAGCTGGCCCGCCCCCTCCAGCGTCGTGCGCGCGGGCAGGCGCGGCAGCGCGATGCCAAACAACCGGTCCTTGTGCAGCATGGCGTCGATGAGCTGCAGGAGGGGTGGGTGCAGGAGGGGTGGGTGCAGGAGGGGTGGGGGCAGGGCAGGAGGAACCAATACCATTGATGTTAAATTGCTTCAATGCAGCAGACGGGTGCAGGAGGGGTGGGGAAGGGGGCAGGAGGAAGGGCAGGGGCAAGGGAGGGAGGGAGAGAGGGTCGGGGGTCGGCAGCGGCAGGGGTTGCGAGGGGGCGCACGGGTGGGGCGCGAGCGCAGGGATGGGCGGCCAGAGGCCCGAACGAGATGCGCGAGGAGGAAAGCGGGCAGGCTGCCGCGCCCGCTGTGGCTCGCCGGCAGGGAACAAGGGCAGGAGAAGGCGCCGCGGCGGCGGCCCTCACCTCATCCACGTGCCCTAGCTCCTGCCTGCCCTGGAAGTTGCGGATGCGCACCTGCACACACACAGACATATGCAAGCAGCAGGCGGAGGTGCTGAGATGCCTGGCGGCACCGGCAGCGGCAGCGGCGGGGCACAGGGCCTGCTGCGTGCGCTGAAGGGGAGTGGGAGGGCCACCGGGGCGCAGCCGCCGGTGTGCCTCCGCTCCGATACCGCCGCCGCCCTTGTACCGCCCGTCGTACCGCCTCCCCACCTTGCGGTAGTCGTTGTACAGCGGCTCCAGGTACTGGTAGACGTCCAGGGGGCGCCCCACCAGCCGCATGTAGAAGGCGCCTGCGCGGCACGCAGGGCAGCGGGGCGGCGGCGCTTGACACCACCCTCGGCATTTACCACCCTTGGAAACACCACCCTCGCATGGCAGCACATCCACCAGTGCCCCCTGGGCTGGCAGCGCACCGCACGGGCGCGGCCAGGTTGCCCGCGCTGCCCTCCGCCCCGTCAGCACGGCGCAGCGCAGCGCGGCGCAGCGCAGCGCGGCGCACCCAGCAGGCGCAGGTACTTGAAGTCGTCGTTCTTGATGAACTCCACCACGATGTCCTTGTCGGGCTGGATCTGGAGCATCTTGAGGATGAGGCAGATGAAGTGGGTGGGCTTCTGCGGCTCGCCCTGCATGCCGCCCACCTGTGCGCGCCAGAGCCGAGGGGACGAGGCGAGGGTCGGCCGGCCGGCGGCCTGCTCTCCTGCCAGCGAGCCGCGGCCCCGCGCCGTGAACACCCCAGCAGGCACGGACGCACAGGCACCTCGGCAGCGCGCAAAACCAGGCAGCAACAGACGCAGCGGATTTATTACGGCCCTCTGCGGAGCCCCACTCACCTCTGTGATCTCCACGGCCTTGTCCACCAGCCGCTCCGCCGACAGCCCAAAGCACTCCTGCTTCCAATAGATGCTGTCATAGATCTTCTGCCGGCTGATGTACTCGATCAGGTTCTGCAGCAAGGGAAGCGCAGGAGCAGCGGGTTGCCGCCAGTGGCGGCGGGGCGGCGGCAGCACCACATCAGGGCCGATGGCGCGGCGCGGCGCCTTGGAGGCGGGCCTGGTCGTGCCAGAACGCTGCACCGCAGCCTGCTGGCGCACCTGCGGGTTGGTGCCGTGGATGGCAGCCGCCTCCTTGTCCGTCCTGTTCGCCATCGCGCCTCAGCAGTGCGACGCAGCACCCTCGAAGCCTGATACAGCGGTCTCAGCAGGGGCTCGGCGAGCTGCGAGGAGCCTCGCTGGATGCGACGTGAGCAGGCTGGCCTTGGGCACAGCCCGCTGCCCACACAGATCACGCAGTCGTAGTGGGCGTCGCTAGCGATCGATCAACAGTGCTGCTGTGCTGCGCGGCCAGCTCAGCGCCGCCTGCTCCCGCCGCCTAGTGAGAGACACGCGCAGCTGATTTCAAAACAGCGCTGGATGAATCGACGAGTCAGCAGATCAATCTGAAAGAATCAAATATTCAAGCACTTCCCAACCCGCTACGACAGCACCACGCCCCGCTCCGTCTCCCACAAGCGTAGCGCAAGCGTCCCGCCGCCGTGGCACGCAGCGCCTCCACCTGCACCCAAGCAGCGGCCGCAATGTCACGGCACACGCTGGTAACGCAGATCGCATCAGCAGAACAGCAGCAGCAGCCACCAGGGTACACAAGCAGGGCGCACCTGCTCCCGCATGGCGGCAGGCATCGCCTCGCTGAGCCCTAGCGCATTGGCATAGGCCTGCCCCACCGCCGGCGCCGCCAGCGCCGCGAACGTCAGGTCTGCCGCGGTGAACTGCTGGCCCGTCAGGAAGGGGCGGCCGTCTGCCAGCAGGGCATCCACCTCAACAAACACTCGCTGCACCACCTCGAACGCCGCGGCGCCGTTTTCTGCGTTGATGCCCAGGCCCTGCACACACGCACCGGGCACGCCGGCAGAGCAGCAGTGGTGGGCGGGTAACGCAGGGAAGCGCAGCGGCAGGGATGCTGCCTCACGGCAACACAGCTGCAGCACCCGTCGCGAGGCTGATGCGCCATGCAGCCAGCGAGCACAACAACCCCCCAAGGACATGGGAATGACCGGGCTCGCCGGCGGCGGCGGCGGCATCTCACTCTGGCCATCAGGCTGCGGGTGACCAGCCACAGGCCCATCCGCATCGCCAGGCGCTCGCCCCACGGCGCCGGCGGCGAGGCCATCGCCTCGGCAATCTGGCGGGTGTACAGCAGGTGCGAGTAGGCCCACACGCGTGCCGCAGGGCCCAGCTCCTTGTCGAACAGCTGGCAGCAGGAGGGGAGGCGGGACAGCAGGCAAGGGTGAGCAGGCGGCATTACTTGAAGAGGGGTGCAGCTTCCAGGGCAACACAGGGCCCCCAAGCATTCAGGCAGGCCCCCCAAGCATTCAGGCAGGCCCCCAAGCATTCCGGCATGCATGCAGGCAGGCAGGCCCATACCCGGCAGAGGCGGGTGACCTCCTCTGCGGCGGCGGGCTCTTGTGGGTACAGCGGCAGCCCCGGCTTGCCCGCCGCGCCCCGCTGCTCGTCCACCCAGCGCAGGATGGCGTCGGAGCCGTCCACGCAGCCGCCGGTGGGCAGGCCCAGGCAGGGCGTGGCGCGGCGCCCGCCCACGCGCTTGGCGGCGGGGCGGTGGAAGCCAGGAGGGTGGGTGTCCTCCACATACGCCAGGCCATAACGTTGCAGGGCCTGCATCAAGGGCCCAGATGTATTGAGTGGGCCAGCAGGGGCTGGAGGGGTGGCAGGCACGCAGGCTGGCAAGCGGGAGACTGAGGCGCCACGGCGGCGGCTGCTGAGCGGCAGCCGCTGGGCGCGGCAGGTGGCGGCGGCCTGGCGGCGCACCCAGCGAGCTTTTTCGCAGAAATGCGACACGCCGATGGTGACTAGCGTGGGAAGGGCGGGAGATTCGGCCGAGGGTGTGGCCGCCATCGTGCTCCCAACAGGCTGGGCTTGGGCTTTTGAAGCACTGATTGCCTGTATACAGTGATAGAAAGACAGTACGAGGCCAGGGAGTGGCGCAGATCAACAAGCTGGCAATGGCGACGGCCACGTCAGCGCCCGTAACCTCATGCGACCGTATGTCACTCCAAGTGACCCTTGGTGGCAGGCCAGTTGGCCAGAACCCCGTTTTGTGATGCGATTGGATTGCCAGACTCAGATGGGTTCCAACTGATGAACGTTACAGATCGCCCACATGTGCCTGGGCAGGCGGGCGGGCGGGCACAGCTCGAGGCTACGCTCCAGCTCTGCAGCCGCCGCCTCACTGCGGCAGCTTCTTGCGCACCAGCCCCCGAAAGAAGTCCAGGCTGTTGCCATCGGGGTGCAGCTCGTACCGCTCGCCGCCGGCGTCAGTGGCCTGCAGCAGCACAGGGAAGAGGCGAAACAACCGGACGACCTCGGCCCATTGCGTGCAGCTACACGCGAGGGAGCTGGCGCTGACCGGGGCAAAACATTCCGTGCCGGCTGGTGCCGGCTGCCACCCCAGGCACTGCTGCCGCCTCACCAGAAGGTATCCGCTGGGGCTGAGGCCCCGGATGGTGACAGGCGTCAGCTGGCCGCCCTCCTCCAGCTGTACCCGCTGGCCCGAGTGCAGCCAGTGGCGGCAGTACTCGGCCTCGAAAGGCGCAAAGCCCTCTGCCGCCAGCTGCGCCAGCATGGGCTCCAGCCGGGACAGGATCCCCGCCAGCAGGACTTCTCGGCTGACTGGCTCCAGCGCCTGCTGGTGCTGCTGCTGCTGCTGCTGCTGCTGCTGCTGCTGCTGCTGAGCAATGCCAGGCGCCGCCGCCGCCGCATCGCCCCGTGCCGCCGCCGCCGCCGCGGCGGCCTGCTCGATGAGGGCGTCTACGCAGGTGGTGGGCTGGCGGTTGCTCAGGTTGAGGCCCACGCCCAGGATGATGTGGAAGAGGGAGTCTCGATAGGAGGAGTGGCACAGGATGCCGCCCAGCTTCAGCCCGCCCGCATACACGTCGTTAGGCCACTTGATGCGCACGTCGATGGCGCCACCCTGCGGCAGCAAGGCGGGGGCAGGGGAGGGGGAGGCGTCGGGGCCACGGCCGGCGGCAGTGGCCAGGCTGGAGGCAGCCGAAGCACAGCGGCGCTGCGGGCTGCAAGGGCCGCCAGCCCTGGAGCGAGGGGCGTGCATGCTGCCGGGCGCCGGCGAATGCGCGCCTGCAACCGCCGTGCGGCTTCCGCCTGTACCGCGTGCACCACCGCCAGCGACACCACGTACTGCACAAACGGCAGGCGCTGCCCCGGGATGGCCAGCCGCGTGGCGGCCGAGAACATGAGGCAGCCGTCGGGCGACTCCCAGCGGTTGCCGCCGCGCCCTGCGCCGCAGGAGGGTCGGGCCAGGCAGAGGGCGTTGCCAGGCAGCGTGCGTTGCGGCGAGGCGGCTATGGTAGCAGGAGCAGCCGGCGCAGCCAGGCCCGCTGCTGCCGGAGCGGCCATCTCCGTGCTGCGGCAAGCACACCAGCCCTCACCCTTGCCGCCATACTGCTTGTCTGCCACAAAGACCAGGCCGTCTGGCAGCTTAGCCACATTCTCTTGCACCACCACCTGAGTGGAGGCGGTGGCGGCGGCGGTCAGCAGCAGGCGGCCCAGCAGCCGCGTGTCCAGCGCCGCCATGTAGCGCTGCGCCGCAAAGGTGCCGCCGGCAGGCTGGCAGCTGCTGCCGGCGGCGGGCGAGGGGTAGGCGAGCGTGCAGTGCTGCTCTGGCACGTCGGCGCTGCCGCGCTGTGCCACCAGCGGCCCTGCCTGCGGCGGGAACAAGGTGGCAGGATGCTCCTGGTATGCACCACACATTCGTGGCATGCAGCGCTGACACAAGGCGGCAACCGCAGCGACCAGCTTGCCTCCTGCAGCGTCTGGCGAGCCGCCGCCAGCTCCGCCGCCGTCGCTGCGTGCACGCAGACTGCTGCCGAGATGCCCTGATCGGCCATGCACGCGATCTGAAGTCTGCCAGGATTCCTGCACCTCGTGCCGGGCCCGGTGTGCTGCCTGAGTGCCAGGAAACGCAAGGAGAGAGCGAGGCGCGCCGGCATCGCAGCCGCACAAGGCGGCGCTGCAAACGGTAATCGGTTACAATCAGGGAGGATGTCCGAATGTTCCCAATGCTGCTGCTGTTCAAGTTCCTGCCGCGTGGCGGGTGGTGCTGTGCTGTGCTGGCCACCGTCTCTGCCTGTTTCCCCTGTCTGGGACCCCTCTGAGCGCCTTTCCTGTCGTGACGAAGCCCATACTACCTCACGGAAACCTCTCGAGGAAGACGCACATGGCCACGGCGCCCGAGCCGTTCATCAAAGTGAGAGCCTCTGTGGCTGCCCTGGTGGTGCCGCACAGGTCCTAGGGATCTGGGCTAGCCTGCTGCAGCCTGGCAGCCTCCGTGCTGGGCACCGCGCCGCGTGGCCTTCACCGCCCCGCCGCCGCCTCAACCCGCCCTCCCTGCCCGCAGGTGCCACTGGATTGGAAGAAGCTGCTGCCCGGCAAGAAGCGGGACGTGAACCGCGACATGGCGGACCTGCCATACACGGAGCCGGAGCTGATCCAGCAGTGCCAGAAAGAGGTGCGGCGGCGGTGCCGCAGCGCTCCTCCACGTGCTGGCCTGATCGATGTTGCGACCAGCCCTGCAGCTGGTTGTCTGGCGCTCCACGCCCGCTGGCAGCTGCTTGAATCACGGCCGCCGTGCCCTGCCTGCGCAGTATGAGGAGGCTGCGCAGCACGGCGGCCAGGAGGCGCTGGATGCCTGCTTTAGGTGAGTCCCACCTCCATCTGAAGACGGACAAACAACAGGAGCAACGTTGGTCCAAGCCGGCAGCTGCAGCGCCCAGTTGCGTGCCACCCCTGCCTGCCTACCCGCTTGCCCATCCGGCCCTGCCTCCCTGCGGCCTCCCCCACGCGGCCTCCCCTCCCGCAGGCTGTCGTGGGCGCTGGTGCACTCGCAGGTGCCCGGCGAGGTGCAGCGCGGCATCGAGCTGGCCGAGGCGCTGACCGACAGCGCGGGGCTGGACCAGCGGGACCTGCTGTACCTGGTGGCGGTGGGCAAGTACCGGCAGCGGCGGTACATCGAGGCGCGGCGCACGCTCAAGGGGCTCATGCAGGTGCTTGCGCTGATGGCATGTACGCGCTGGTGGCATGTGTGCGGTCTGCGCAGTTGCGGTGCGCGCGCGTGTGATGCTGTGGCGTGCGCTGCGGTGGTGGCTGTGTGTGCTTGGCAAGGCTGGGGTTGTGTGTGTGTGTGTGGCCGGGAGTCCCGGCGGCCGCCTCCTGGGTCTGGCTGCGTCAAGTTGGAGCGAGCCTGGTGCCGGGAATTCGCTGCCCCAAGTCGACCCTCCGCCCGCCTGCCTGCCTGCCTGCCTGCCTGCCCTCAGGTGCACCCCGAGTTTCGGCAGGCGGAGGGGCTGCTGGAGGCGTGCGACAGAGAGATTGTGAAGGATGGGCTGGTGGGGGTGGGCGCCGGCGCCGCCATCCTGGGCGCCGTGGCAGCCATCGCCGTGGCAGCGATGCGGAAATAGCGCGCAAGGTGGCTGAGCCGCGGCCTGGCTGCCAGTGGTGCCTACTCGTCTTTGTGCTGTGTTTTGCTGCTGCTTCCTCTCCCTTTTTGCTATCTGTCTGTGCTCATACCCCCGCCCTCCTCCTGCTCTCCTACTCCTCCCAGATAATCCTGCTTGTTGAACAGTAAGGATTGCACAGCACCACAGCAGAGGTGCTGATCAGGTGATCTGACGGGGGAATGAGTTGAAAAACATGAAAGGAACGGGGTGGAGAAATTTAGAAAAAATGGCATCGCTCACAAACAGCAGGTACATAGATCAGACAGAATCGCAGGGTTGTTCCCAATACATACAGAGTTGTCGCCAGCCACACGGAAACACAGCTTGTCAAAATCGCACGGTGGAAAAATGTGAGACCCAGGAATCACAACCCCAACCGCCCAGCGGACCAAAGGGGTGGCAGGCACGTTGCCGTCGTCGCGCCGCCTGGCAGGCTCCTGGCACCCAGCTGATGCTGCTGGCTCTTGGGCACCTTCACCTGCTGCTGCTGCTCACTTGAGCAGCTTGAGCAGGTACATTTGCAGGTCCTGCGCCGACATGAGCCCCTCCACGCGATCCACCGCCTGGCCGTCCTTGAACAGCACCAGCGTGGGCAGCTTGTGGATGTGGAAGTGGTCGGCCCTGCACGCATGCACCGTGCAGGGGCTGGACGGCTGGTGCAGCGAACGCAGGGGGAAATGCTGGGCAAAGCTGGGCGGGCAGCAAGCCCGGCGGGAGCGAGGCCGAGCGAGGGCTGGAACGCAGGCAGGCAGCGCCGGCGCCTCACACGGCGGGGTGTTGCTCCGTGTCGATCTTTTCGAATTTCACCCGGTCCTTCATGACAGGCTCAATCACCTGCAGGGCGGAGGAGGCATGGCCCGAGTGCGGCGATGGTCAACAGGCAACAGCTTCATATCCTATGCAGGTGCGGCAGGGGCGCTCCTGTAGCTCACTCGCCTTCATGTTGCGGTTGAGCTGGTGGCAGGGGCCGCACCACTGCGTGAAGAAGTCCACCAGCACAGGGGTGGGTGAGGAGGCAATCATCTGCTGAAACTTGGCCATCGACATGCCGCCGCTGCCCGCCGCCGCAGAGACCACCCGGCAGCGGAGCCGGGGGGGAGTTGCAGGCGCCGGCGCAACCCAGACCAGCCACCGCGATCCTCTCCCCTGCGAAGTGCATTCTGGAACACGGGTGTGCGTGACGGAGCCTGCACCAGCGAACGACGCCATCTGGGCGTTTCGAGTCTCGCAAACCCAGAGTGAGACTGGCCCTGCTGCCAGTATGACGGGAGAGATGATGGAAGGAAGCGTGCAGGCTTGGGGGCTGCAGGGATGATGGGCACATTGCCTCCAGCGGGGCGCCGCCCACTGGCCCCTCTGGCGCGCCCCTTTGAACCTGTTGAGAGATGCTGTCAAATCTGAAGCATCTCCGACCATAATGGAACAGCTGCCTCGCCTCATCTCAAGGGTCCAACGCCGAGTGGCAAACCCCGAGTCCCGAGCCCACAGCACTTGGGAACTGGCGCATGAGCTCCACACAGCCTGCTTAGAAGTGCGCGATGCCGGCGTTCCCTTGCAAAATGGCGTCCAAAGGTGAGCAGACACCCTGGCCCGCCCTGCCCAGCTGACACCCTAGCTAGGTAAGCTATGCTGTGTGTTGGCAGACTGGGCTGCATACATGCAGCCCAGAGGGATACACACCACAGCCGCGCTTGCTGCAGGGGCATGCTGGAGCTCGGGCGCTTCACGGGCCAAGCGGCGGCGGCGGCGGCGGTGCAGGAGCTGGCGCGTGGATGCGCCATCTGCACGGTCCTTTCCGGCTGGATGTTGCTGGTGCTGAGCAGCCTGCTCTACCCATCAGATGACGACTGCGTGCGAACGCTGGCAGGCGCAGGTGTTGCCAGCCTGCCGCAGTCCCTGCCCTGCCGTCGTCCCCGCTCCAACGTTTGACATATCCGCAGCGCGCTCTCGCACGTGCGCCACGCAGACTTGCTGAAGGCGATGCTGCCTGCCCTGAAAGGCATGGCTGACCTTCTGTACACTCCCAGGGAGGAGTTAGATGCGCTGTTGCACGCTGTGTACAAAGCGCTGGACACCTGCGCACAGCCGCTGGAGATGCTGCTCGAGCTGCTGCAGAGCCCCTCGCCCCTGCCGCCACGCGCGGCGGCTGTATTGCGAAGGACGAAGCTCAAGCCTGTAGCCCTGCTGCAGACTGCCGCTGGCCTAGCAGAGATAACGATGCACCTGATTGAAGGTGCACCCGTGCTTCTTCCCTTCCTGCGCTGACAGCTTTGCCCATGTTGCCTTCGAAGACATAGCGGGTGCCTGTGCAGCCAGCTGACACACCTGCTCCTGTTACGGTCTGCGGCGCAGCTGGACAGCTCATGCCGCCCTCGGCGGCCCATCTACTGTGCACCCTGTTCAAGTTGGAGGCTGCGCATGGGCTGTGCGCCCTGGTGCGAGGGCAGCTGGCTGTGTTCAGCAGTGTCCACCTGCACAGCAGTATCGACCCGCAAAGCAGCGCTTTTGTGCAGCTAGCAACTAAAGCTTTTCTAACTCCAGCACTACCAGCATGCTTGCAGCCGAGCTGCTGTCTGCGAAATGCTGGCGCGAGATGAGATGGTGGCAGCAAACAGTTTGTGGGATCCAGCTGCTACATCATACTGCAGACGTCACAGCCAGCCTGGAAGGTGCCCAGAGCATGGCGGCAGCGTGGCTGCGCATCAGCTCATTGGGCCTGGCACACCAGCTGCTGCTCGATGCAGCAATTGCAGCGGCGTGCGGAGAGCGCATCCCCAGCTTTATCATGAGACCTGTGGTAAATCTCCTCGGCCAGTTTCTGCCAGCCATTTGCCGGCTGGCAGCTCAGGTGGCAGCAGCGCGGGGCAGGAATGGTACAGCGGGAGAGGCGTCGGAGGCGGCAGCAGCGGCAGCGGACGCAGCTGACAGCTTTGGCCAGATGTGCTGGGGCCACCTGGCTGGCGCATGGTATGAGATGCTGCAAGACTTGTGCGAGGGGATGGGCTGCCTGGCGGCTCTGGACGATTTCAGCCCACACGTCTTTGCAGATAAGGAGGCGACCGCCGCTGCTGCTGCAGCCCAGGCGATGGTGCGGCTGGTCCCACTGCTGCCTCTACAGCCAGCCCTGGTCCACAGCAGCATCCACCACAGCATGGCCGTTGTGGCTGCGGCGGACACGGATGGCCAGGCCGGCGGCATCACCACATGCGGTGCGCTGGTGGAGGCAGCAGGCGGCTCAGCGGCAGTGCTGAGCCGATACCTTGCTCGCGGCGGCAGGCTGCTGCCCGAGACAACAGCTCCCCTGCTGTCCAGATCCCTGCCGACCATTGCGGCGCGCCTTCTGGAGAGGAACAGCGAAACACATACCTGGGACGAGGAATCTGCATTTGGTGCATACAGCACAGCGTGCCACTATTCACATGCGCTGCAGCTGCACGGCGCGCTGTCCGGCGGTGACCAGCGCGGCGCTGCCATTCTGGCAGACCCCGCCACTGCGGTCTTTCAAGCGGATGACCTGCTGCACACCGCGCTGGCAGGGCTACACCCTTGCTTCGCAGACTGGCGCGGTGCATCAGATGGCGCAGCAGCGGCACGCACCCAACGGCGAGTGCTGCAGCCAAGAGGGGCGGCCGCCGCCGCTTCGTTGCAAGTTTTCATTGCGTTCCTGTTGGCTGCACATCCTGCTTCGTCTGCGATCACTCAACTTGTCCCTTGTATCACTTGTGCTCTGCTCAGCAGGGTTTGCCTGCGAGCGCTGACCGTGTCGTGTGCGCTGCGCTGCAGGCGACCGGAGTGCACTCTGCTGCTCTACCTGGCGGCCGTGCTGGCGCTGCCAATTGCTCATGTGCACGATTCAAAGAACTTTGCGAGGTTCTGCGCCATCCGAGAGCAGAGCCTGTGCGCTCTGCTGCGGCAGGAGGCGCTTGCGCCGCTGTGGCGCCTGCTCCTGCAGCTCAGGGGCAGCGCCACGCCATCCAGCCTCGCCCAGCTGCTGCCCCTGAGG